TCAGCAGTAAAGAAAGATGAAATAATGAAATTTGCAGGTAAATGGACAGATCTAGAAACTGTTATACAAAGTGAAGTAACACAGACTCAGAAAAACAAACGACATATGTTCTCCCTCATTTGTGGATCCTGGCACCAAATCCTTATATGTGAGTACATACCTGATGTTACTGCAGGAACCAGGGAAGTAAAGGGAAGAAGGAACCTGAGAGAGAGCAATAGTAGGAGAGCTTTGGAGAGCACTACACAAGCTGCTAAGGGAGAACATTAACTGATGGTCCAACCCCAGCTTCAAGGCCCAAAAACCACATCAATGACTGGCACAGCAAATGACATTGTCGCAGTAGTGGCACTTTTATCTTGGTGGCAATCAACAGTTACCTTATTGGATGGAAAGCCCACTCAATGGGAAGAAACCCATGTGTGGTACTGTAAACCTCGTCAAATACACATAGCTGGAATAAGTCTTAGATCTTAGAGAAAACCCTAAGGCTGTCACATCCCTAGACAAATGCAATTTCTTACTATGTGCAAAATATGGATTCTTAAATTTACAGGCAAGTATCCCAGGCACCACCCATCAAAGCAGCTTCTTTTGCAACAGAGATTATTACAGAGTTCTACAACTGTACATCATACACAGAGATTGTCTGTGAACTGCCCAATCCTAAATGGCATATCTACAATGCAACCTCTACACCTAAGGTTCAAGGAACATAGAACAATGGATGAAGAGAACACTCATGCATCTGTCTACTCTCATCAATGAAGCACCTCCATTCAACAGCGGGCCAGGAACACAAAACATCACATATGGCCAAAACAGAGAATAAGAGTCTATAGAGTCTTCCGACAAGACTCCTATTAAAATCCACCACCCAGGGCTCAGGAACCATTGCAGAAGAGGGGGTGTAAAGACTGTAAGAGCCAAGGAGGAGGTGCATGGCCATATGGAGTCCTACAGGCTCCTTGTACCCTTCTCACATGAGCCTACAGTAATGGTGTCAACATGCACAAGACCCATGCAAACTCAAGCAGACAAAACCCCAGCAGAGAACGGTGGAAATGGACAGCAGGCCTCAATGTTCGGTGAAGAATTATTGGCAGCTGGGTGAGTAAAAGCTGACCTTCATAAAGGACTCTAGACAGACTGACTAGACCTCAGTGGATGAACTTGCACTGAAGAACATCTAGGAATACTAACTTGACATGATAGGCCTTAACACAAACGACAGAATGTATCAATTCCAGTAGGGAGGGGTGGGAGGGGCTCATGGCAAAGGCAATGTAAAGGGGATTAAGATGTTCTGTATGAAATACATAAAAATTCAATAAAATTAAAAAATAAGCATTTCATTTACAAAATAAAACAAAAACCAAAACAAAAAAATAGTAATAAAAACCAGTAACTCATCTTGACCTCAAAAGATCTTTTAAATGCAAAGGCCAAAGCTTTTCTTTTTTTTAATATAAAATACTAGAGATCACTGCCAAGTATATTGGTACTTTGCTTTCTTTTTATAACCAGAAATAAAAAATGAACAGCTTTACAAATCTTGCACATCTGTGTGTTTTTTTCAACACCCCATGCTGGGCTACATATTGAGTTCCAGGCCAGTCAGAATTATATAGAACTCTATCTAAAATAATAATAATAATAATAATAGCCAGTGTGATAGTTCAGGAGGTAAAAGTATTGCTGCACAATCCTGGCAAACTAAACTCAATCCCCAGAACCAACCAGGAAGGAAAACCAATCCCCAAAAGTTTGGCCTCTACATGCATCCAGTGGCACATGTACACACCTCCACAGACACCATAAACACACTCAATAATAATAAAATTTAAGTAATAATTAGAATCAAAAACCTGTGAAATGAAGCCAGCAAACAAATCTATTGACTAAAGGCTATAGACAAAGGCTATTCCCAGAGGTTAACAGAATACTTGGCAGTAAAATATATATTGAATATATATAAACTGTTCAACAGATAGACCAAATCAATGAGTAAATGTCATTCAAGTGCGAGCTTCTGTAAGCAAATACATATATTTCTGTTTCTCATGGAGTCTTTAATAGAAAACAGTGAAAATATTTTATATCCTTTCTCAATTCTAAATTAACTGTATATTACTAGCCCTACTAATATAACAGTCAAAGATAAATGTGTATTTGTGTATGCATATGTATGCATGTGAGTGTGGTGTGTTCGGGCTCACATGCATGGAGGTGAAAGAATATCGGGTGTCCTATCGCTCTCTACCTTATTTCTTTTTATTTTTATTTATCTTTAAAAAAACAAAAACAAAAAAAAAAAAAACAGTATGTAGCCCTGGCTGGCCTCAAACTCAAAGAGATCTGCCTGCCTTCTGAGTGCTGGGATTAAAGGCATGCACCATCACACCCAGCCTCCACCTCATTTGAGAGTCTCTCCATGAACCTAGAACTTGAGTTACAGGCCTCTGTATGTGGTCACACCCAGCTTTTTTTTTCACTTGGGTGCTGGGATCCAAATTCAGGACCTTGTGCTGGACAGCAAGCACTATGAACCCCTGAACTCTCTCTCCAGCCCCCAAAGACAACTTCATAAAGCAGCTTTGGTTCAATCTTTACACCATTCACAGCTGCCATGCCCAGTTAGAGGTTCATGAAATTCTAGCAGTCTAACAGATGTAAAGACTTTGTTGATTCTATTACAGGAAGTTATCCAAGGAAAGAGAACTTCCAAAATAAAAATAGTAACTTTTTTTCTTTTATTTTTGAAATAGAGTCTCATGGTCTCAAACTCGCCTTATAGGAGTTAATAACAGCCTTGAGGGCTGAAAAGGTGGCTCAGCAGTTAAAAGCACTGACTGCTCTTGCAGAGGACCCAGGTTCCATTCCCAGCACCCACAATGGCAGCTAACAACTGTCCGTAACTCCAGTTCCAGGGGATCCTACACCTTCTGCAGACACTGCACTTACACACATGCAGGAAATATACACATAAAATAAAAAACAATAAAAAAATATTTATTTTTTCAAAAAAAGAACAGCCTTGAACTTTTGATTGAATTTCTGGTATGTATCAGCACACCTGGTTTATGTACCACATGATTTTGATAAAAGTAAAGAAACTGCAAAACCTAAAGTCTAACATGTAATGCTACAAGTCAATACTAACTGGAAATTGATCAACATGTTAACATATACAGACAGAAAACTTTATGTTTAGTAAATCTTATATTTTAAACTTTAGTAAGACAGTATCCATACTTTCATTAGAACTAAAGTCACGGGCGTGGTGGCGCACGCCTTTAATCCCAGCACTCAGGAGGCAGAAGCAAGCAGATCTCTGTGAGTTCAAGGCCAGCCTGGCCTACATAAGTACCTAATTTCTTAAAAAGGAAATTCACAGCTGGGCGTGGTGACACACGCCTTTAATCCCAACACTCGGGTGGCAGAGGCAGGCAGATCTCTGTGAGTTCAAGGCCAGCCTGGTCTACATAGTGAGTTCTAGGACAGCTGGGGCTACAGGGAGACCCTGTCTCAAAAAGACCAAAAAAAAAGAGCTAAAGTCATATATATATGTATGCCTCTAGTCCTACCCATTCAGGAAGTTGAAGCTGTGGTCAGAGGATATGAGTTTAAGGCCAGCTGAGCCACACACCAAGGCATCAGCTCGATAAACAAAAAAGAACTTGAGAGAAAATTTTACAAGTGACTTAGAAATTTTATTCATTTTTAAAATTTTCATTTATTGCTATTAACAAAATCTAAAATACAAGCAGATAATAAATAAAAACTATGTTTACAAAGAAAGGCAATGGCTAGGTATGGTGGCACACACCTTTAGCCCCAGTACTCTGGAGGCAGAGGCAGGCAGATCTCTGTCAACTGGAGGTCAGCCTCGACTACCTGAGTTCCAGGCCAGTCAGGGCTACACAATGAGACCCTGTCTAAAAAGTTAAAAAAAAAAAAAAAAAGTAAAAACAACAACAACAACAACAAAAAAAACCCAGCTTCATCACCACTACAAATATAGAAATTTTAAAAAAAGAAAAAACAAAAAGCACTGTAAGGAGAGTACTCTGTATGAAGAAAAGGAATGACCTGTAACTGCATTCTGGCTATGATGCTACCTCCATCAGCTTACTCTAATCAAAACCAGCAATAAAACTAAGACTTAGGGTATTTTCATTACCTATGAGGGACAACTACATGTGAAAAGGCTAATAATGCACTCTAAACACTGGGTTCTTTCCATGGTTTTTAACTGAATTATTCAATATTCAATCCACATAATTTTCCCAAGTACTTTTTCTTTTATAATTCTCATAATTTTCATATCTGTCCCTCATCTACCTATGGGAGGTTGAACTGAAAGAAATCTACCTAATAAATCAAGTATCTCTTCAGTATGTGTAATATAATAATGCTTATTTGCAATAAAGAACAGATATATAACCCATATATATTTAATTGGATTAAATGTATTAAAATGGAAATAAATGAATTACATACATTTAATTCAGAGTTTTTCACTTTTATAATTGGCATTGATTGTTAAGGGTTAAAACAGGACTATACCTAAAGGAAGTTGTAACAAAGTAGTCCTAGGTTTTTCATGCTAAATTAGCAATAAATCAGAAAACTCACCACCAAACTAGATGATCTCAAAGGCCCAAAATATCAGACTTAGTCAATGGTCAGAGTGACTTCAACAGTAGTTCTTGCACATATAAAGAGTCAAAAATTCCCAAATTTACCTTACAAAATTTGCATATTTGCATTTTATTCAAAATTCAGATAACAGTCATAAAGCCCAATATTTAGATAAAGAAAAGTGTCCAGGCATGATGAATGCTGAATCTCTTCTGAAAAGTGGAACTGCGACAGAGGAATGCTGTATGATTAAGAGGGAGAAGTTATGCACTTCTCCAGAGCACAGAAATATTTTAGTTGGCTGACAATGAGACTAAAATCAAGAGGAAGTCAGTGTGAAAATCAAATTGTTCTACCTGTGGGCAAGATCACACAGGTCTTCACTTCTGCAGCCGTTTTCTTGGTTATGTTCTCTATGTGTATCTAAGGAGCATAAAAATGATTCTTTAATCAAACCTACATACTCTAATATACAAGGATTTCTTGAAATCTAGAACACCTGTATTTCTTCCCTGGACTTGAGGTTCAAACACAAGATACACAAGCGTTCTAGTTTTCTTCAATACACAGTACAGTATCCTCTGTAATTACCGTACTATGCAATAGAACAGCTGAAGTTACTCTTCTTATCTAATTACAACTGGTGCCTGTTGATCAACTGTTTTCCACCCCATCCCTTCCTCTACTATGCTCAGCCTCTGGTTGATTAACCTCTCCCCATCCCTTCCTCTCACCTGTTATCAGCCTCTAGTGATCACCATTCTACTCTCAATTTCTATGAAATCAACTTTTTGATCATGTGGTATTCAGTCTTTTTGTGCCTAGCTTATTTCAATATAATTCCTAATTCCACTCATGTTTTGGAAATGATATGATTTTATCCTTTTTCAATGACATCTTTTGTCACTAAAATGGAAATTTATGCTATGTACACTTCACAATAAAAATAACCTAAGGGCTGTCCAGATGGCTCAGTGGGTAAAGGTACTTTCCACCAAGACTAACCTAAGTTTGGTCCTTAGGACCCACATAGCAGAGAGAACCAAATCCTACAGGTTGTCCTCTGACCGCCACACCTGGACTGTGGCACATGCATATCTATACATATCCACATGCACACAAAGAAGTAAATAAATGTAAATCAGTAATTTTTAAAAAAAAAATAGAAGAGCTGGGCATGGTGACAAAAGTCCTTAATCCCAGCACTCAGGAGGCAGAAGCAGGTAGATCTCTGAGAGATCCAGGGTAGCCCAGTCTACATAGTAAGTTCCAGTCCAGCTGTGTGCTACAGGGTGACCCTGTCTCAAAAAATACGAAAAAGAAAAAAAAAAAAAAAAATGTAAGGGCTGGAGAGATGGCTCAGTGGTTAAGAACACTGGCTGTTCTTGCAGAAGACCCAGGTTCAAATCCCAGCACCCACATGACAGCTAACAACTGTCCATAACTGCAGTTCCAGGGGATCCTACAGCCTCTTCCGTCCTCCGTGGGCATTGCATGACATGGGTGCACTTACCTACATGCAGGCAATACACAAAATTAAAAAAAATTAAAATATAAAATAAAATAAATAAACTTTTAAAAGGAGGAAAAAAACCTATGAGAAATAAGGCAGAGGTGCATACCTATAATCTCAGCACTCAAGAGGCGCTCCAGCCTGGCTACATAGCTAGTTCCAGGTCCGTCGATGCCTCATAGTGAGATTGTCTTTAAAAAGGCAAGAGGGGAGGGGTAACGAACCTGGCAGTGAAGCAGGATACTTAGAAAGAATACTCTTTGCATATACTTCCTCTGACACAGGATCAAACGAAAGGGGAGACATGGGTGGCAAAAGATCCACAGCCTTAAAACACAGAATGCAGAATATTAAAGCAAACACATTCACTAACTACCATAATTACAAATCTACACATGGATTTTTTCCTAACAATGAATTATTAAATGTATACCCTGTAACTATTTTTTTAAATCAAAGAGTACAATAGTATAAAACAAGGGAATTATTTGATCCTCCAATGAAGTTTCAAATGTTACAGTATTGCATTATCAAGAAACAAGTCTCATTTACTTCTTATACAGTCCTCTGAATTTAAAGGCTGAATCAAGACTAGAGAGATGGCTCAATGTTTAAATGTGTTTACTGCTTTTGCAGAGGACCTCAGTTCAGTTCCCAGTACCTACAAGGCAAGTCAGACCTTTCTAGATCTAGGAGATCTGATGATGCCTTCTTACCTCTGAGGGCTCCTACACATGTGGTACACAAAAACATGAGCACACACATTTAAAAAAATTTTAATATTTTATTATTTTTATTTTATGTCTATGAGTGTATTGCTAAAAGGGCTGGGCATGGTAGCACATGCCTTTAACCTCAGCATTCAGAAGACAGGGGCAGGTAGATTTCTGAGCTGAAGGCCAGCCTGGTCTACACAGCCAGCTCCCGGTCAGACAGGGTTACAAAGTGAAACCTTATCCCAAGAAAAAACAAAGGGGGGAAGGGAGCTATAAATGTTGGATGAAAATCCTATTATGTATTTAGAAAAATTACAAAAACTAAAATATTTGAACTGTCAGGCATGGTGGCACATACCTATAATTCTACCTACTCTGGAAGTTCAAGGACAGCCTCGGCTACATGAGTTCCAGATCATCCTGGGATGCACAACTACATAATAAATACCTGGTTTATAATCCCAGCATCTGGGAGTAAAGGCAGGAGATCAGCCATTCATATTCAACCTCAGCTACATAATAAAATTTGAGGCCAACCTGGGATCCATGAGACTTGTCTTAACAACAACAAAAAAATAACTTGGGCCAGTGAGATGACTCAGCCAAGCAAGCCTAAGGACCTCACGGCAATTCTAGGAGGCCATGTGAAGGTGGATGGAAAGAAGCACCTCCATAAGGTTGTCTTGTGTCCTCCACACACCCCATGGTACGAATGTGCTGCTCCCTCCCTAACATACACACATAAAAAGAAATAATTTTTAAAACTTTAGACTTCAATGCAAACATGATAAACAGATATATATAAAACATTTCTAGGTTATGTGTGACATTATAAATCAAGGGATTGCCAAAACTTAAAGAGGAAGATAAACAGAATTGTCAAAATTAAACTCCTCTCCAAAAGGCAAGATCACATTACTTACTGAAGTCCAGCCTTTAATTAGACTGAAAGGAGACAGACCAAGAAATTCTCTCCACTTCTCATCCCATTCTCTTTGCTTCTCAGTAATAGAATGTCTCACTGCAGTGGCATTTTCTTTTATTTTATGCCTATGATAAGAAATAACTTTATTTGAAGTACAAATAAACAGAAAAGTATGTGGTAAAACTTAAGACCATAGTTCTAGGGAAGAGGAAGCATGTAAACCTAAAAGTTTAACCAATAAGCTACATATTAAATTGAATAATTTCTGAAAAGTGATGACTCAACGTGAAAAATTTTTTTTTTTTCTCTTAAAAAAAGCAGCTAGGCATGATGGCTCATGCCTTTAATCCTAGCACTCAGGAAGCAGGCAGATTTCTATGAAATTGAGGCCAGCCTGATCTATATAGCAAGTTCTAGGCCAGCTGGGGCTATAGGGAAACCCCACCTCAAAAAACCAAAACAAAACCAGAAAGCAATCATACATCTATAACTTCATTTAATTTTTATATTTATTAGTTTTATTTTATGTGTATGAGTATATTGCCTGCATGTATGTAAATTTTGCACATCATGCAGTGCCCACAGAGGTCAGAAGAGGGCATTGCATTCCTCTGGAACTGGAGTTCGGACAATGGTTAGCCATCATGTGGAAGCTGGAAATCGAACCCTCTGTAAGAGCAGCCAGTGCTCTTATCCACTAAGTCAACTTCCCAGTTCTACTCCATTTTTTAAAAAATATTTTCTTTATTATTTTTATGTGTATGAGTGTATTGCCTGCATATGAGTACACCCATGTCATCCATTTATTTTTAATTCTACTCCATTTATTTTTAAAAATTTTTTTGAGTGTCTCATGGTCCAGGCTGGCCTCAGGTATTTAGTTGACCTGGAACTCTAGATTCTCTTGCCTCTGGCTCCCAAATGCTGGGATTATAGGTTTTTACCACCATGCCTGATATGAAATAAAATTTTTTTTTTTTTTGGTCTTTTTTGAAACAGGGTCTCTCTGTAGCCCCAGCTGTCCTGGAACTCACTATGTAGACCAGGCTGGCCTTGGACTCACGGAGATCCGCCTGCCTCTGCCTCCCAAGTGCTGGGATTAAAGGCATGCACCACCACACCCAGCCATAAAATAAATTTTTTGCTAGCTCTAATCTTTAGTCAGAATTCTACTTCCATTGTCCACTCCTAAAATGAGCCTCAACTCCCAGTTCTTTCTGCTCAAATAAAAAACTTTTCTAAAGCTCAGTTTTTTGGGGTTTTTGCTTTTTTGAGACAGGATCTCATTATATATAGCAAACTGCACTTAAACTCACAATCTTCCTGCCTCAGCCTCTCAAGGATGATGGGCCCAGCTCAATTCTACTATTAGACATGGCAAAAGAAACTCTTAAAAAAAATAAAATTGTTTCATATTAAGTAATTTATTCCAGACAAGAAAAGGCTCTATTACATGACCCTTCTCACATGTCTCTCCAAAAGGTCACTACACATAAGGTTTTTGAATGCTAGTACATTTTCCACTTATTTGCCAAAGCTGAAGAACCACCCATAGTAAAACAGTATGTGTACCTCATGTGTTTCATATGTGATAATCTTTCCCTCTGAAGTTTGACTTCTTTTTCAAGGTAGCGAAGGTCTATTGTCAATCCTGGTTGGTCAGCCTTACAATGTTCATATTTCATTACTTTCAAAACTTCATTTAACAACTGAATAATTGTTAAGAGGTTCAACTTTCCAGCCTCATAAACGTTTCCTATCTGCAACTGAAGATCCAAAAAGGGGGGAAATAAATCAGAGATCTATAAGTTCCTATGATAATGAACAGCTACATATTTATGCTTTTTGTTATTTTAAAATCTTAAATGGAAAAATAAATCAACCACTACCTAAACATAAAACTATGTAATAATTTCAATCCACTGAAAACTGTCAAGGAATGAACATGCCACACAACATTCTTAAATCATGCAAAAGATTGAAACTAGCAGAAAAGAAATCCAAAAACAGTTGGAAAGAAAAATAAAGACTGAACAGAAACAGTAGATTTGGGAAAAAGATCACAAATTCATTTTTAACAAAAGTTGCAAATTGCCAGCCAGCCTAGCCTACTGATAAGTTGCAGGCCAATGAGAGAGACCCTGTCTCAAAACAAACCACCTGAAATTGTCCTCTGGCCTGCACCTACACCTGCACGCGCGTGTGCACGCAAACACACACACACACACACACACACAGAGAAAAGAAAAAATTTAACACGATGGAGAGGTAATTCAATCCTTATAAAGTGCCTGCTTTCCAAGCATGAGGACCTGAGTTTGATCCTCAGTACACACATAAAAGTTGGATATAAGTAGCCAAGCATGACGGCACACTCCCTTAATTCCAGTACTCAAGAAGCAGAGACAAATGGAGCTCTGTGAGACTGAGGCCAGCCTGGTCTATATAGCAAGTACCAGACCAGCTGGAGCACAGGTAGGTCCTGCCTCAAAAGACAATCAAACAAAAAGATATAGGGAATGGTAGCATACATTTGTGATTCCAGCATTGGGGAAGTGGAGACAGGCAGACCCCTGGGTCTGCTGGCCAGCCAATCTACCCTAATTAGTGAACACAGGTCCCAATGAGACCCCCTTCTCAAAACACAAGATGGATGGCTCCAGAGGAACAACACTTAAGACTGACCTCTGGTCTCCACCGACATGTGAGCACATTTAAACATGAATTCATGTACACGTACACCCATACACACGCTCATGCACACACTTGTAAGCAAACACATACACATACAAGTTGCAAATCCATGATCTCTAAACTTGAAATATGTTTCTTGCCCTACACATTGCAGTGTTTTAAAGTAATTTGAATTAGTTGCCAATATTTTTCGAATCATAAATTCTACATAAAAAAAGTTCACAGTGATTTTTCTCCAAAGATATCACTTCCTACCTTCTCTCTATCATTATAATTAATGCCTTTTGTATCTATTACCTGCCTATACCCTACAGGAATCTAAATCCATACATGTTGACTACTGTATACTGTGAATTTGGTGCATGTATATTACGTCTTAAAGTGAAATCTCTTCATAGTCACCAAAATATTTTACTTTTGTAATATCTATACTATAATCAATGCCACATATGTGGTAGATATAAATAAATTGTGCTCACTAAGGAAAAAAGTCATAGAGATGGAAATGTCCATTTGAAGACAGAAATAAGTACATGGTGCTTTTGTTGAAGAAGAAAAGTTGAAAAATATCAACTCAGTATATTATTGTATGTTGGGTAGGCATGTCCTCCAAGGCAGCTAGAACTGAACTCCCAGAGACTCAGAGGGGAGGGTCTAGAGACCAACGCTGAGAAACACTGAGAGCACTGGGAAAAAGGGGAGGGGCAGTTGCCCTTTTGGAACAGAGCTCCGAGACCACGGGTGGGATGGTGGGCATCTCAAATATGGAAAAGAAAAAGCCTATGAGAGTTCATGCCTTTGTAAGTCACCCCCTCCTGGATTCATTAACTATGCAAAACCCAAATAGAAGGTATCCTGTTGGTTTTCCCCAGGTCGCAGTCATCCTGAAATGCTGTAAAATAGCTCAGTTGCTTGAGAGATGGGTGTCACAGCCACATGTGTGTGAAAATTCTTTAAGGATTGTGGAAAGCCTAGAAAAAACTTTACAAGCCTTGGAAGCAAAAGGGGAATCCAGAGAGGTGGCCTGGCCACTTCTTTGCATAATAAAAGATTTGTTCGCTGCAAAGGCAATGGCCCCAGTGGAGGCTGAAAAGACTAAAGAGTTACTGGCAAATTCCATCTTAGCCTCAGAACTTGCAAATAAACCATGGGAGAGAGCTTAAAAAAAAAAAAAAAAAAAAAAAAAAAAGGAGATTTTTAACTTGCTTAAGGTTAAGGGATGAAGAGTCAAAGGACCCAAGGAAAAAGATAGTAATGAGAAAAAACAACCTAGAAATAAAAGTAGCTAAAGCTGCCCCTCAGATTCAACCTTTGATACAAAAAGAAAAATGTTAACAGTACTGTAGCAAGGAGAAAATCCTCCACACTGGAACTGTTGGGACTAGGAAAGACTTTCAAACAAGCAATGAAAGAACCCTCATTACATGGTTCATGAGGGTATGGGAAATGAGAGCAAATAATATTAGTTTAAGTCCTTCAGAAGCATCACAGCTGAGTTATAGCACTAACCATCCGTCCTTGAGACACACACAGGCTGTTTAATCTAGGCCAATGCGGAGGGTGGGGGGAGCTGTCCCTAATACAATGGCTTGTGCAAGGCATTAAAGATACTCAGTCATCACCAATTGAGACTCCCATGATTAGCAGGAGTTGGAAGACCATAAAAGAGGGACAGGCATTACTGAGAGAACTAGGTATGAGAAAAGCAATATATAGTGCCCAGTTCACTGGGCCAGATAGGACTGTATTCACCAGGGATATAAGAAAAAGCTATTCAACAGGGACCTCAAGAATGGTATGGCGCTTTAATGGTTTTGCTAAGTCCCTTAATGGGATCTTTGTAAAGTGAGGAGGCTTTAGTAGATCTAAGTGACTCAAACCAGCATGTAAAACATATCTGTAGAATAACAGAACAACTTGCAAGAGATATAAAAAGGACAAGATGAAAAAAGAGGTCCGTTTGGGTCACTTGAAGACACGTGGCAAGATTAATGTCAAGCCCGGATTCCTAAAGAAAAAATTGATGAAAAACCAAATTCGGTACTAAAGGGTTTCTGGAAGGCTTTAAAATCTGAAAAACAGTTCACAAAAGGCATACAGAACTGCCCCAGGGGTGGTTAAGGATCCCCAAAGATTAAACAAGGTACATTTCTCTCCTGAGAAAAGCTATGCTAGGGGTGGAGGCAGTTTTTCCCACCAGGGCCTCCCCCAGCAGCCAGGCGTGGTCAACAGATATGGCTACAGCCAGGAGGCAGACCCAGGGGCTGCCTGACCCAGGGAACCAACAGGCGCAGCAGGGACAAGAGGTACCCTCTGCCTCCTTAGCCTGGTGCAAGGTCAGGCAACTTGAACTTCTATCCTTGTATCAAGGATAAAAAGATACAAAGAGGCTTCATTTAAAGTCCTCAGAATGCAGAATGACTCCAAAGGGATAACAGTAAAGAAGTAACCAAGTTAATGCCTCTTTCCCATGCTATGGTACCCAACAGAGATCTGCTGAGAAAAAAATTAATACAAATGGATAAAATCTTTCCACACTGTGTTAGACCTTGTCTATGTTTGATTTAATATATAGTTAACCTGAGTGTTTTACAGATGTGAAACCCATTTGAAAGATATCAAGTACACACACAGACACAAAAAAGGTTTGTGGGGTGTGATGGTGCATGCCTTTAGTCCCAGCACTCGGGCACATCTCACATCTCTGTGAGTTCAAGGCCAGCTGGGGCTACATACAGGGAAACCCTGTCTCAAAAAGACCAAAAAAAAAAAAAAAAAAAAAAAAGGATATCAAGTACACCTGAAGAAACAAAGGCCAGCTATAGCTGAAAGATTTTTATAGTTGGGTAAGTACCAGGAGTGGGTTGCCCCCTACGAGCTGTTGGCCAGAGAGATCCTAGAGGTCCTCAAATTAACCAAGGCTGTTGCAACTAATGCCAGTTGTACATCAGAAAAGGTAGGTAAGGCCATGTTGCTGAACACTGAATGATGTGAGCTCGGGAGAAAGAGAGATGGAGCCAGGACTAAGCTGAAAACTCCATGCCACTGCATGGAAGCTTTCATAGTGCCAGAGGGCGCTATGCATAAGGTTAGAGGAAAAGAATCCCCTGATTCTGCTCAGCGACGGACCTCGCATGCTGCACACTATGGACATGCCAAGCAAGCAATGCCTGCTAGTGCAATAATGGCTCAACTAACATTGGTAGACAAATGTTCTAATTGGATAAGGCCCACTCCTAGTGGTGGAGCACACATCTGGTGCTGTAGAGCAGGCCAACCCTGTGTCAGGGAAGGCCATAGGCCCCAGCAGGGAAGCTGCTGCAAGTATGCTGTTTGATAAATATGGTACACCTGCTGGGATATCTTCTAGGCATTTGTATTTGCACCCATGTTTGTGTAGATGTGTCTACTTCTTTCCATTTGTCTTTATAATAGGGGAGACACCATTAAGATGGATCAGAAGCCACATCTTGAAAATGAATGATGGAAGCCCCAAGAGGTCAGTATCTCCCACAATAAAAGAAAAATCATCCTGCATCTGTCACCCCCTCCAAGGCTCAGGGATCCTTGCAGGAGATTCGTGGAAAGACTGTGAGAGCCGGAGGAACGGGTGAGTGCTGGGTAGGCACATCCACCAAGGCAACTAGAACTGAACTCCCAGAGACTCAGAGGGGAGGGTCTTGACACCAATGCAGAGAATCGCTGAGAGCACTGGGAAAAAGGGGAGAGGTAGCTGCCATTTTGGAACAGAGCTCCAAGACCACGGATGGGATGGTGGGCATCTCAAACATGGAAAAGAAAAAGCCTATGTGAGTTCATTCCTTTGTAAGTCACCCCCTCCTGGATGTCATAAACTATGCAAAACCCAAATAGAAGGTATCCTATCCTTTTTGTCAGCCCTGGGATCCCAGCGGGTGTATACGGGTTTCCCAGGGGCATGGGGGGAGGGGGGTGGTTTGTGCAACACTGTATAAAAACTGTTAAAGCCATGGCATTGTTAAGAAAATGTAGATAAATTTGCAACGAGGGAAAGGCATTAAAGAAACCATGGGGAAGCTACACATCCATTTTAAATTAGATATTGTGGTGTTTTAAATGAAAACTGTCCCCCAAAGTCTCAAGTATTTGAACACTTGGTATAAGATCCCCAGTTGGTGGTACTGTATGCAGAGGTTTAGAAGGTGTGGCCTTGAGGAAGGAAGTATTTCCTTGGGGGCAAGCTTTGACTGTTCATAGCCTTGCCCACTTCCAGACTGCTCTCTGCTTCCTGCCTATAGATGGAAATGTAACCAACCAGTTTCCTGCTCCGGATGCCTGCTGCCATGGCCCCCAAACCCCATTAATGATTCTGAGCCCTCTGGAACTGAGAGCCCAAATAAGATTTCTTCACTAAGTTGTCTTGGTCATGGTATTTTATCACAGCAACAGAAAACTGATAAGGAAAAAATGGAACTACAAGAACAAACTGGTATCAGCAGTCTGAAAACCCACAGGAAAACGCAGGTATAGCCATCACAGAGCTAAAGGAAGGAAGCCTTTAAAAAGAATGCTTGACAGCATCAAGATAAAAGGGAAGTAGACAGGGTTTGCTGAAACAACGCCCCAGTGGCTCATCTTCCAAAATAACAGACTGAGGAACAAAACCCTAAGCTTCCCTAGGTCTTAGAAAGCAACTCAACACGGTTTGTGAATGGAAAGGTAGTGCCCAAGTCACATTCTGCTCTAAAAGGTAAATACAGATGAGTTAAAAGGAAAAAAGCCAGAGTATACAAACTTTTTAAAAGGACATTTAGAGAGCTGGGCATGGTGGGGCCTATAATCCTAGCACTATGGAGGCTGAGACAGGAGGGAATTTATAAAGAATACAGGGGGTGGTAAGACAGATCAGTGGGTGCGGTAAGATAAGTCAGTAGGTAAAGGCACTTGCCACCAAGCCTGATGACCTGAGTTCAATTCCCAGAACACACATCATGGAAAGGGAGAACAGACTCCCACAAGATATCCTTTGACCTCTACATGCACACTATCACCTATACAGACAGACAGACAGACAGACACACACAAACACACACACACACACACAAAATAAAATGTAAAGAACTAATACACTACCATCTTCCTTCTAAGCAATCTTATGCTCTCTACTCTGAATGAAATAAGACTGTAAACGGTAGAAGAAACAATAAAAGCAAGTGAACACAAATATGCACACCTTTGATAGTACCCTTTTTATGAAGACTTTACTAGATATAACCAAGAAAATAAATTTTGAAAGCAGTGGAAAAACAAAAAGAAACAAGGCATAATATATAAAGTAATTACATAGTTTCCTTTTTCCTTAATAGTAAATGCTTACCTGACATATTTGCTTCTCAATTTTGTCAAGTAAAAGCTTTGGGACATTAAGAACAACATCAGTTCCATCTAAAGTATACTGGTCAACAAGACTAAGGACTGAACTAACAACTTCTCTCTCCTTTTCCAAAACCATGAGCGTTTCGCATATTAAAGTCCACAAAGACCGAACCTTTGAAAACAAAGACAAAACACAAAGTCCACACATAATTTGCAGGTATATTAAAGAAATGTAAGCATAAATATTTCTTTACCTCTAATAAGGTATTTCTGGGATGAATCCAGAGATTCATATTGTAAATGTACAAAAGCACTGATCTTATTTCAAAGGCGCTTGGAGACTAACAAATTTCTTAAGATAAACATAACTCATATAATTTTCAAAAACTTAAGAAATCTTTACACTACCAAGACAATAATTAAAATTTTCTATATTCTGATATGCCATAAATCTACCGCACAACTGCACACATCAACATGGATAAATATCAAAACTACTGAGTCAAAGTCTACAGAGAAGAATACATTACTAACTCCCATTTATATAAAGTCCAAAACTAGTTAAAACTGATCTTTTAATGTAAGCAAGGATAGTGCTTATCGTCTGGTGAAAAGACTATGAACGAAAGAGGCCTTCAGGTCACATAAGCACTGTCCCTTGAAATTCTGTCAGACTATACACTATGACCTGTATTCTTTCTAAATCTAGGTTACAGTTTAAAGGAATTTACAGTGCCAGGGATGGAGCTCAGTGGGTAGAATGCTTGCCCCAGCACCACATACCTCAGGAATGTATGATGGAACATGCCTTACATGCCTTAATCCCAGCACACAGGAGGTAGAAGCAGGAGGATCAGAAACTCAAGGTCATCCTCTCCTACACAGTGAGTTTGAGGTCAGCTTCGGCTACATGACACCTTCTCTCAAACTTTACAGGGCTGGAGAAACAGTTCAGTGGTTAAGAGTACAGGGGCTCTTGCAGAGTACCCAGGTTCAGTTCGCAACACCCACATGGCAGCTAACATCTGTCTGTAACTCCAGTTCCAGGGATCTGACACATTCCATGGGTTTACACACATGTGGTACACTTATGTACATACAAGCAAAATATCATATACATAAAATATTTTATGTATATCATATATATGTATATTTTATAAAATAAGTTTTATAAAAAAGTGGGAAAATGGTAAACTATGATAATTATATCCATGTTAATGTCTGTCTTCCTGAATGTTACAATGTATTAAACACGAGGCTAGAGATGGGTCACCAGTTAAAAGTTTGTACTGCTTTTGCAGAGAACCTGGATTCAGTTCCCAGTGTCTACATCAAGTGGCTCACAACCTGGTAACTCCGGCTCCAGGTAGATCTCACACCTCTAGCCTCCGTGGGCACTTGCACTCACAAGCACAGACACACACATATATGTAATTTAAAAAAAAAAAGCCGAGTACGGTGGAGCACACACCTTTAGTCCCACCACTTGGGAGGTAGAGGCAGGCAGATCTCTGTGAGATTGAGGCCATTCTCGTCTACATAGTGAGTTCCAGGCCAGCTGGGGCTACAGGGAGACCCTGTCTCAAAAAGCCCAGAACAAAAGAAAAAAATTAGGGCTCAGAAAGTAAAGGCACACAACGCTAAGACTAAGTTCAACCCCCAGAACCCACATGATGAGAAAACTGACTCTACAAATTGTATTCTGACCTCCACATGTATCCAGGTGTGACATGGGTGCACTTACATACATGGACGCAATAGGCTCATAGACATAAAATAAAAAAATGGAAGGAAGGAAGGAAGGAAGGAGGGAGGGAAAAAGAAAGAAAGAGACAGAGAGAGAGAGAAAGAAAGAAAGAGAGAGAGAGAGAGAAAGAAAGAAAGAAAGAAAGAAAGAAAGAAAGAAAGAAAGAAAGAAAGAAAGAAAGAAAGAAAGAAAGAAAAAAGAAAGAAAAGAAAGAAAAGAAAAAGGACAGGACAGGACAGGACTAGGCATAACTCAGAAAACGGGCTGAATTCCAAATTTGAGACCAGTTACGCAGTGAAACTTTGTCCAAAAAAACAAGTTATCTTACCTTTTGAATTTTCTCTTGAGTATTACTTTGGTCATCACAGGGTTCCATTCTATAAAAATTAAACAATTTAACTAGTTATAATAAAATCACATTTAAAAAAAAAAAAGCACACGTAAGCTGGGCATGGTGGCACACACCTTTAGTCCCAGCACTCAGGAGGCGGATGCAGGCAGATCTCTCTAAATTCAAGGCCATCCTGGTCTACATAGCAAATTTCAGGCCAGCTGGGGCTACAGAAGAGACCCTGTCTCAAAAAGACCAAAAAAAATCACATGGTAATTTCAAAAACAAAACACTAATTAGTCTGCAAACTTGACCACAGTCATTCCAATTAAAATAATAATACTCAAGTTCAAAGCAACAATGATTTTTAGAAGAACTGTACTAGGAGTCAACCATGTTCTAGTCCTGGCATCACCATCTAATGACATGTGACCTTACTAATGTTTCTAGTACTGTTTTCTCACCTGTAAAATTCAAGATATAAACTACTACCTAAGGTCAATTCCAGCTTTAAAAGTCACTTACTTTTTAATTTGGTTTTGTAGTCCCATGCATTCTGATCTCAAATTTCGTAGTTGCTTAACTGACAGTCTGTAAGAACACACAGAAAATGACAATTATACTTTCAATATAATTAACTGAGTATTTTCTTTTTCTATCTTTGCTCAAAGCCTCTGAGAACACCCAACAGCTGGCTAGAGGACTCTCTACCAGAGCTACTGCGAGCTACCACAGCTTCTGGGCTGGTGTGCCCTAAGACTTCTTTGAGCAGAATGGTGGAGTCAGGAAGGAGGAGTCTGCTCCGTCACCTTTGTCTCTAGGTGGTAAAATGAAACTCTCTCTAACAGGCAGCACTTCAGTTTTCAGGCAACTTCAAAACATTCTATAGCTTAAAAAATAAGAAAAAAAAATATTTTAAAAAGATATCTTACTCTAATGTTTACAATCGTAAAATGGAGAGGGAACAGTAAGATGGGTTCCACAGGGAAAAGCCCTTGCCCCTTAAGTCTAGCAAACGGAATTTAGTCCCGAGAACCCACATGGCGAAAGGAGAAAACCAATTTCCAAAAGCTGTTTCTCTCTCTCTCTCTCTCTCTCTCTCTCTCTCTCTCTCTCTCTCTCTCTCTTTAAAAAAAACAGGTTTTTTGGTTTTTGTTTTTTAGAGAGAGGGTCTTAAACAGAGAGGGTCTCACTTGTGTAGCCCTGACTAGAACTTGCTATGTAGACCAGGCTGACCTCAAACTCAAGAGATCTGCCTGCCTCTGCTTCCCAAGTGCTGAGATTAAAGGTGTGCACCATCATGCCTACAAATGTTTAAACTTGTCTGAAAAAAAAAAAAGTTAAGACATGGGCTACAGAGATGGTTCAGCGGTTAAGATCACTGGCTGCTCTTACAGAAGACCCGGGTTCAGTTCCTAGTACCCACATGGTGGCAAACAACCCATCTGTAACTCAAATTCCAGGGGAATCCCCACACCATCTTCTGACCTCTGCGGGCATTGCAGTACACGGGTGCACCTAGCTACATACAGGCAATACACTCATACACAAAAATAAAAATAATAAATCCATAAACAAATTTTTTTTTTTAATTAAACAGTTGGGCATGATGGCATGCTCCTTTAATCCCAGTACTTGGGAGACAGAGGCAGGTAGATCTCCATGAGATCTTAGCCAGTCTGGTCTACATAGTGAGTTCTAGGCCACCGGGGGCTACAACAAGACCCTGCCTCAAAAAAAGACTTAAAAATAAGTAAAGGAGGCGTGTGGGTGGTACAGACCCTGCATAACTCGTGTGGGCCTCTGCCCTGGGAGTTCAGGGGAGGGCAGCCAGGAGATGGCTGCTACCGCCCACATCCACCTCTCTTCCCAACATCTGCTCCTACAAGTGGCCACTGTACAGAACACCCATTGACACTCAGTCATCATTTAAGTGATAAACTAGGCATAGTGGAGAAGGGACTTGGCAATTTGAGAGAGGGGAGATGGATAAGGACCCAAGATGGTAGTAGCTCTCAGCAAAACACAACTCTGAAAAACTCTGTGCTAAGTCAACCAGTTCAAGAACCCCTTGAGGTGCTGGAGAGATGGCTCAGTGGTTAAGAGCACTGACTGCTCTTGCAGAGGACCTGGGTTCAATTCCCAGCACTCCACATGGCGGCTATGAACTGTCCTTAACTCCAGTTCCAGGGGAATCCGAAGCCCTCTTCTGACCTCCATGGCACTGCACGACATGGGTGCACTCACATACATGCAGACAATACACTCATACACATAAACTAAAAATAATAAAGATTTTTTTAAAAATTTAAAAAAAGAAACCGGTTGAACCAGGGGTTCTTGTATGGTGACTGTGCTATGTGGTACCCTGGGACAGCCCAGTAACCTGCATACACTGGGGCTGCAAAGAACTGACTCTGATGAGGAAATGCAAGGATTTCTGATCTCTGAGGAAAAGAGAAGTCCCTACATGACAATCCTAGGCAGTGTGCAGGAGAAAACAGAAAATGAGTGAAAATTCCATTCGAAGAAACCTGGGTGTATTCTGACCCAAAACCACTTATAAAGGAAAAGGTGGGTGCCCTTACTTTGGCCAATCGGCATGTAAGAATTACAGATTACAGAGCAGGGTGTGGTGGCGCACACCTTTGATCCCAGCACTTGGGAGTCAGAGGCAGGCAGATCTCCGAGTTCAAGGCCAGCCTGGTCTACCCAGTAAGTTCCAGGCCAGCTAGGGCTGCGAGGAGACCCTGTTTCAAAATAACCAAAGGAAAGATAGATGGGATTTTTGATTACTAATAGAGGTCATGAAGTAGGAAGTGGTGTGGAGGGCAAGGAGGATAGAGACGGGAGGGGTCTAAACATGATCAAAATACAGTGTATGAAATTCTTGAATCAATAAACTTTTTTTTTTTTTTTTTTGGTTTTTTTGAGACAGGTCTCCCTATAGCCCCAACTGGCCTGGAACTCACTTTGTAGACCAGGCTGGCCTTGAACTCACAGAGATGTGCCTGAGTGCTGGGACTAAAGGCATGCGCCACCACACTCAGGTGAATCAATGAACATAAAAGAATAAAATTGGCCAGGTGTGGTGATGTACGCCTTTAATCCCAGTACTTGGGAGGCAGAGGTAGGTGGATCTTTGTGAGTTCGAAGCCAGCCTGGTCTACATAGTGAGTTCCAGGCCAGCTGGGGCTACAGGGAGACCCTGTCTCAAAAAACAAAACAAAAAAAAAAGAATAAAATTAAAAGAAAAATTAAACTTTTTATCTAAAGAGGTATTTTCTTTTTCTCTAAACATTCATTTATATCTCATGCTTCAAATTTTAAAGTACTTTCTTCAGACGTTTAAAATAAAAAACTAGGCCAAAGACATAGCTCTTGCCTCCAAGCCTAATAACCTGAATTCTATCCCTGAGACTCACATGGTAGGAGAGAACAGACTCCTGCTGGTTTTCCTCTGATCTCTACAGGAGCACTGTGCCATGCACATGCCCACACCCACTCACACACAAAATGTTAAAAAAATTAAAATGCAAAATTAATAGCCAAAGATTTGAAGTAGGCATGGATTATTTCTCTGCTTACTTACATTGATGACATTTACTAAAAAGAAAACTATTTTCTAATTTCAAATTACTTACTGTGCATTTTCCTGATATTTCTGGGTAACATAATGTTCTCTTTGCAAAATACGTAAAAATCTGTTACGTGCTACATGGCATCTGGTAATGCACTTGTGCATATCTTGTGGCTTTACGTTAAATGTTTCTGCAAAATGTGGAGAAGAATCTATATGGAAGATAAGATCACAGAAAACATCACCATTAGCTTACCTATGCTTCTAGTAAGGCCAACAGAGGGAACAAAACTGCTGCCATTTTATCAGCCAATTCACTGTTGCTAAGGACCACAGTAAATGCTAAGAAGAATCCAGTCCAGGTTTTTAATCTATAAATCTATTGTTTTTAAAATATTTTATTATTTTTATTTTATGTGTATGAGTATGTATGCCTACATGTAAGTAAGTGCACCCATGTCGTGCAATGCCCTTGGAGGTAAGAGGAGGCTGTCAGATTTCCCTGGAACTAGAGTTATAGACAGTTGTTAGCCACAATATGGGTGCTGGGACTCAAACCCAGGTCCTCTGCAAGAGCAGCCTGTGCTCTTAACTGCTGTGCCATCTCTCCAGCCCTATAAATCCTGTTGTAACATGGATCCACACAGTAACGATAATGATATTCTGCAAAGCAGGGTACCTATCTATAGTGCACATAACACAACTTATCCACATCCCGGCATGTCACACAGAAACTTCCACATCTAATTACTTAATAGGAATTAATTCATTGAATTTAGAAGTCACCTAAGACATTTAAAATCTTGACTAGAATTGCTTTAAATCAGAAATATGGCAAGCTATGTTCAGAAACCTTAATATACAAAAAACCCTTATTAAATCCAAATACATAATTGGGCATGGTGGTGCACACTTGTAATCCTGACACTAGGGAGGCAGAGGTAGGAGGATTAAGAGCTTTTCCTAGTTACTTTCTGTTGCTGTTATAAAATACTGACCAAGGGGCTGGAGAGTAGGTTCCATGGTTAAAAGCAATGGCTGCTCCTGCAGATGACCCAGGTTCGATTCCCAGCACCCACACGATAGCTAACAACTGTCTTTAACTCCAGTCCCAGGTGAATCCAATGGAGGTGCTGCACAACACAGGTGCACTCACATACATGCAGGCAATACACTCATACACATAAAAACTAATATTTTTTTAAAAAAACCATTGACCAAAATCAATTTAGAGGTGAAGGGGTTTATTTCATCTGAGTCTTCCAAGTGAGTCTATCACCGAGAGAAGTCACTGAAGGAACTGAAGCAGAGACCACGGAGGAACACACTTACTGGCTTGCTCCACTTTTTTTCTTTATAGCCCAGGCCCACCTGCCCAGGGATGGCACTGCCCACAGTGTGCTGGGCCCTCCCACACCAATCAGCAATTAAGAAAATGTCTCACAGACATGACCACAGCCAACACGATGACGAAAACTACTCAACTGAGGATCCCTCTTCCCAGGTGACTCTAGTTTGTGTCAAGTTGACAAAAACTAACCAGCAAGTGCTCAAGGCCAGCATTGGCAACAGAGTAAGAGTCTGAGGCCAGCCTGGGCTACATGAGCCCCAGCTCTAAACAAAACAAAACAATGAAAAATCCAAACATATATAATTAATATAAAACAGTTTAGGTTACACGCAATTGGAACAAATCATCTACTTACAAGGAAATTGGCTGAATGTTAATGTTGCATTATATTTAAAATATGTGACTTTATAAAGCATGATTATAGATGTTTTCAAAAGTCATGCCTAAAAACTAGATCAAAGGAAAAAAACCTGTATGTCACACACAGAAAGGTGCAGTAAAAGTTTCTATAAATGAAAAAAACAAAAACTAAAAAAGTAGACAAAGGACATGAATATAAAGAGAAAAACTACTCTTACACATACAAAACCAAGTTTCAGTAACTAACCATAAAGGAGTGTAAGTTAAAGCTAAATTGAGACTGTATTATAACCTGTCATACTAAAAAAACTATGGAAGTATAAACTGACTAATCTCCACAGAAAATAATCTGGTAATATCAAGCAAATTACAAATGCGTGTTTCCTTTGATTAAGCAAATCATCTTTCAGGAATTAATTTATGTTCACACACATACTTCAATACATGTACTCATACACATACACAGTTTAGTCTGTAGCACTCTTCTTCTATTAGAAGTTAGCCAAATGTCTGCCAGTAGTAGACTGGTTAAACAATGTAATTTGTTCCATATAATACTAAGCAGTTCTAAGGAGAAAGAACAAGAAAAGTTTATGAACACCCAATGATCTCCAAGTGGGAAAAGATCCAAAATCAGGTTTATATTATAAGTTTTGTTCATTTATTTGGTTTTGATAGATTTGGTTTTTGTTTTGTTTTGTGTTGTTTTGGAGACAAGGTCCGGCCTGGAACTCCCTATGTAAACCAGGCTGGCCTTGAACTCAAGAGATTGTATTATTGAGATTGTATTATAACCTGTCTTTGTTCCCCAGTGCTGGGATTAAAGACATGGACCACCAAGTCCAGTTTTAAATTTCTTTTTCCTTTTTTTGTTGTCTGTTTGGAAGGTTGGTTAGTTGGTTTTTTTGAGACAAGAGTCTCAATTATGTCACCCAGGCTAACATGGCTGGCCCCAATCTCACAATCTTCCTGCCTCAGTCTCCCAAGTATTACAATAATAGTCCAGCACCACCACACCAGACTTGTTTGGAGACCTGATTTCCTATGTAACCCAGGCAGGCCTCAAACTCACTATGCAGCCCAGGTTGGGCCTCAACTTGAAATCCTCCTGCCCCAGCCTCCCAGTGCTTGGATTACAAGCACACATCACCACACCTGGTTCTATTTATGCTTTGTTTGGGTTTTTTGTATGTGGGTGTTTGCTTTCTTTAAATTTATAGGTCTCTGCTTATCTATGTGTACATATGGTTGTATTTTCTAAAAAACAAAAGAACTGCTGGGGAAGTATCATTTGTCATCACAGTACTAGGGAGACTGGGGCAGGTAACAGGAGAGTGGGAAGGAAAAAACGGGAGGGGAAGAGGAAGGGAGGAAGGGAGAGAGGGAAGGAGAGAGAGGGAAAGAGCCAGGGAGCATTTGCTCATATTACTGGTTACACTGTTGCTTCTACAAATTTAACCAACCAATGGAAACAATGCAATTAAAGAATAGGGGTGCAGGCCTGGAGTGGTGGTACACACCTTTAATCCTAGCACTTGGGAGGCAGAGGTAGGGGATTGCTGTGAATTCAAGGCCAGCCAGGTCTACATAGTGAGTTCCAGGCCAGCTAGGGCTACAGGGAGACCCTGTGTCAAAAAGACCAAAAAATAAAAAATAAAAAATAGGGTGAACGTTAGACTTCTCATAGTTTTGATTTTTTTTAATCAGAGAAAGTACTACCTATTCAAAATAAATAAAATTTATACACATATACATTTAAAAATAAAAGGAAATAAAGGGCTGGAGAGATGGCTCATCAATTAAGAGCACTGACTGCCCTTGCATAGGACTCGGTTTGATTCCCAGCACCCACATGGCGGCTAACAACCACCGCTAACTCCAGTTCCAGGGAATCTGACACCTTCTTCTGACCTCCTCGGACACTGCACAACACAAGTGCACTTATACACATGCAGGCAACACACTCATACACATTAAAAATAATAAAAAAAAAAAAATCAAATATGTTTTAGAAAAATAAAATAAAAAGAAACAAACCAAACAGCAGTTATTTTGGGAAATTAGAAGACGGTTCAATGCGTCATTTTTGTCTTTTTCTTTTCCATGTTTTATGAGTAAAAATAAAGCAACACCATAGTTAATAAATTACAAATAGCATTCATTTTATTAACCTTAAAATTTTATTTGCTTTCTATGAATAAATCAAAACTCTTTGAAATAGAAATTATCAACACAATTCCAGTAACCAAAAGAAATTTCTAGGCCATCCTAGCAATATTGAACATGCTGGATTAGAAGGCTAATTTGGCCCACTGGTTGTTTTGAGTCAACAAGGTTAAGAATCGTTTCTACATGAAAACATGTCTGTCTGAAGTAGTTTTCTTGCATTGGTTTTCCTGAAACAAGGTCTTACTACACAGCCCAGGATTGCCTGGAACTTATACAGCATAGGCTAGCCTCAAATTCTTGATCCTCCTGTCTCAGCCTCCTAAGTACTGGGATTAAAGTCATGTGCCACCAGACCAGGAGACTATATGTATATGTGTATGCCTCCCTATAGCCCAACTTAGTCTGGAACTCACTATGCAGACCAGACTGGTCTCCATCTCATAGAGATCCACCTGCTTCTGCCTCCCAAGTGCCACCAAGCATGGCTTAGGGCTGAAAAAACAAAGCAAAATGAAGAGCCATATACCACAGGCTTTATGTGGTCCATAAAGCTTAAAATATTTATTATCTAACATTCCTATGGAAAATGTATTCCAACCCCCACAAGAGAATATAATAAAATAACACAAATAACAGGTCCATTATGAGATTTCCAACTATAGTTCCAGGAGAATATTAACCATTTATTTTGTGAGTTAAATGAATGGTTTAACACATTTTGCTCTTAATTTTAAAAGTATAAATAACAACATAAGAACAAAAACAAAATATAGTCCTTCTATAAGTTTAACTTACTTTTAGTCTTGGTTTTAATATATTTGATTGCAACAAATCTTGCAAAATGATACATCAGATGAATAAACTTAGGACCACCAGGAGAAAGAAACAGTGAGCCAACAACTTGAGGAAAATTACTTCCACATTCAGCCTGTAGAAAAAAAGAGATGAGATGACCCAAAAGCTTTATCAACAATAACTCATTTATATCATACTATCTTTCAAAGACTGTGACAACCTTGTACCAGAGGCCGCAAACATCACGATCTTTCTGTGTAGGGCAATGAGAGCTAAACCAGGAGCATGCCCCCTTCACAGCACAGTGGCTTGGAGGGACTGGATTCCATTAAAGAGTGGAAAATGGTTAGATAAGGTTAAGATTTGGCAGCCACTATCCCCCAGTCCACTCTCTCCTCACATCATTCTTTAAACATAAAATGATCCACAGGGATGATTCTGTTTGAACCATGGTTGAACTGTTTGGTTTTTCTAAACTTTAGATGGACATGGTAACAAAAGATAACTGTAATAATAAAATCATAATTATTGATGAATTTAGGGGAAAAGCTGAAAAGTATAGTCAAAAAGTAATCTTTAAACTAAAACCTGTAACATAAACTCCCAGGAACCAAAAGTCTATTTCTAGTAGTAGGGGTGGGGGGTGGGGGGGCAAGAGGTGCAGAGACACATAGACCTAACTAGTTTCTCAGAATCACACAGGATCCCATATAAGAAAAACATCAAAAAAATATTAGCCATGGGGCTGGAGAGATGGCTCAGTGGTTAAGAATGCTGGTTGTTCTTACAGAAGACCCAAGTTCAAATCCCAGCACCCACATGGCAGCTAACAACTGTCAGTAACTCCAGTTCCGGGGTATCCAACAGCCTCTTCTGTCCTCCATGGACACTGCACAACATGGGTGCACTTACCTACATGCAGGCAATACACGCATACACATAAAATAAAAATAATAAACAAAATTTAAAAAAAGTATTAGCCAACCAGTATTTCGTTACATATTGTTAGCATAAAAGTATTAGCTTAACGGGTAAAATATTTGCCTTTCAAGCACAAGGACCTGAGTCTGATCCCCAGAACTCACATAAAAGAAAGCTGAGCTGGGTGTGGTAGCACACACCTTCAGTCCCAGCACTTCAGAGGCAGAGGCAGGTGGATCCCTGGGCCAGTATGGTCTACAAAGTTCCAAGAGAGCTGGGGCTACAGTGAGACCCTGTTTCAAAAAGACCAAAAAAAAAAAAGAAAGAAAGAAAGCTGGGCATGATGATGCACACTTGTAATCCTAGCACCTAGGGGAGGAGGGGTGTTAAAGTGGTGGTACATGCCTTTAATCCCAGCTTTCATGAGGCAGAGGCAGATGAATCTCTGCGTTTAAGACCACCTTTATCTACAAAGAGTGAATTCCATAGTGAGAACTTAAAAAAAAGTCTAACAAAAGGGAGGGGGACTAGAGATGGCTCAGCAGTTAAAAGCACTGGCTGCTCTTGCAGAAGACCCAGCACCCACATGGCAGCTAACAATCATCTGTAACTCCAGTTTCAGGGAATCTGACACCCTCCTCTGACCTCCACTGGTGCACTTAATAGACATGCAGGCAAAACACTCACAGATATAAAATAAAAAACTAAATCAATCCAAAAAATTTAAAAGAGGGAGTTATGAAAAAGATTTCACTTTGGGGGATACAAACATGAGGCTGAGAGTCCAGATTCCCAGAACCCACATATAGGTGAGGCAGACATGACAGCCGCCTGTAATCACAGCACTTTTAGGGTCAGAAAGCAGGATTCCCATGGCAAGCTGGCTACCTACAGTAGCAGGAATTGGTTAGCTTCAAGTATAACAAGAGACCCTGCCTCAAATACAGTGGAGAACAATCAAGGAAGACATCCAATGTCAATTTCTGGCCTACACACACAGTGGCTGCACCATGGTAAAGTACATGCGCACACACGCACACACACAGGTTTTCCTTTTGAAAAAAAATTAAGTATAGTTTGGTTGGGGGGGAGGGGGTTCCAGTGCTATTGATGGAACACAGGGCTTTATACATGCTAGGCAAGTGCTCTACCATGCGCTATATCCCCAACCTTAAAGGATTTTTGTTGTTTATTTTTGTGAGACTGGGTCTTGCTATGACACCCTGGTTGATCTGGAACTCACTACATAGACCAGGCTGTCCTTAAAATGGGAATGATCCTTCTGCCTCTGCCTCTCAAGCACTGGGATTACAGGCATGACCACCATGCCCAGCCCTCCTTCATGTCTGCATACTTACAGAGATCTCTTTTAACCATTCACAGCAATGTTTCCGGAACTCAGTGTCACTTTTTTGGTCAAATGGAGGCCAGCAATCTCTTAAAAACAAAAATAAAAGCATTAGACTAAGGAATCCCTGCTTGCCTCCCCCACAAACTCAAACTGAGCAAAATTTAAAACACATCAAATTTATCTCCCATAGTAGAAACCGTAAAGCAAAGTGAATTAAAGCTAATATTCTTAGATTTCAGTTAAAGACATCAATTATAAGAAAAATGGGTCTTTTCCCTAGGTGAAAATATTTATAGGTGTAAAATTAATTCAATTTAGTACAAATAATAAATGAATACACACACACACCTTAAATGAAAGAAAGAACAGCTATTAAAATTAGCAAAAATTCTTTAATCCCAGCACTCGGGAGGCAGAGGCAGGCAGATCTCTGTTGAGTTCAAGGCCAGCCTGGTCTACATAGTGAGTTCCAGGCCAGCTGGGGCTACACAGAGACCCTGTGTCAAAAGACCAAAAAACAAAAACATTATCAAAAATTAGCTACAGATAACATTCTCAACAGATCCACTGGACTAATGCATAAAGAAGGTATAACTAAGCCAGGCAGGGTGGCTCACATCTGCAATCTCAGCACTCCTGAGGCTGAGACAGGAGGCTCCACATAAGCTGGAGGCCCTCCTGGGCTGCATAGTGGTAGAGTACATGCCTAGCACAAGGTTGTAAGTTCAATCCCTAGTACAAAAGATAAGTAATCAAGTATACACAGGAAAAAGACTGAAAAGCTAAAATGTCAATAGTGATATTCTCAGTTCAGTGGGTTTAGATGTTTACTTCTGTCTTTACATTTTCTGAAATCCTCAAAAGGAACCATAACGTTTTTCACTGAGGGAAAATATCAGAAAATCTCTATTTATTTGGACAGAAGCCCTAAACGAAATGATGAGGATTTCAAAAAATATTTCAAATAAAAATATGTCCCAGAAACTTGTTTTTTGAGACTGGGAGTTGCTATGTAGCCTAGGCTGGCCTCCAGCTGAAAATCTTCCTGCTTCAAACTGTCAAGTACTAGAATCACAGGCATGCACAATATCCAGCAATGAATTTTTCAGAAAGAAGAAATCCAAAATCACATACAATGTAATCTAGAATCAAGAATAGTAGGTGGCTGGGCATGGAGGCACATGCCTTAAATCCCAGCACTCAGGAGGCAGAGGCAGGTTGTAATTGAGGTCAAACTGGTCTACATAGCAAGTTGCAGGCTAGCTGAGGCTACATGAAGACCCTGTCTCAAAAAACAAAACAAAACAAAAATACTGAGTGTTCACATTCTTATTTTCTTAATTTTAAAATATTCATTAGTATATAATGGGCTAAATTTAAATAGGAATGATTTTTGCCTACAGCAACTGATTAAATATATATCACTGAATAAGATAGTAAGAATTTACAGGGAATTGAAAAAACACAAGTAGAACAAATAAGATTCCCTACAAGTAAAGTACTAGGCATGAGGTAACATTAGAAAAAAAAAAAAAAACAGAATGGCCAGACATAGTAGTACATGCCTGTAATCCCAGTACTCAAGAAGGAGGTCACTGCATGCTGAAGGCCAGTCTGATCTACATAACAGATGTCAGGCCAACCAGGACCTAGTCTCAAAAAACCAAAAAGTAAAATCATAAAAATTTGTAAAGGGTAGGGGGGCTGAAAAGACGGGCCAGCAGTTAAGAGCACTGACTGCTCCTGCAGAAGACCCAGGTTCAATTCCTAACACCCACATGGCGATTAACAATCATGTATAACCTCAGTTCCAGGGGAATCCAATGCCCTCTTCAGGCACTACACAATATGGGTGCACTTACACACACGCAGGCAAAACACTCATACACATAAAATGAAATCTAAAATAAAAATTTTTAAAAATAGTCGGTTTTCCCCGGGCATGGTGGCGCATGCCTTTAATCCCAGCACTCGGGAGGCAGAGGCAGGCGATCTTTGTGAGTTTGAGGCCAGCCTGGTGAGTTCCAAGACAGCTGGGGCTACAGGGAGACCTGTCTCAAAAAGACCAAGGGGGGGGGAAAAAATAGTCGATTTTCAAATGACAGAACGACTAAGAAACAAAAATGAATTTTTCTTACTTGAAAACCTCCTTGGCAAGAGACTCATCCAGTGTTTGAAACAAAAAATAAGAAACTATATGAAAGGCATCACGGTTCAGCTTGTCAAACATGTTCCTGGTGGTTTAAAAGGAAAAAAATGATTAATAAAGCTACACATGATCAAAAACTAAACATTTCACACAAATTAGTCTTTCCATTCTCTTCAAGAGGTTAAGGCAAATTAATTTTTCACAATCAGTTAAGAAAAACAAAAGCTTTTGTTTTCTGATTCTGAAAACAGCTCTCTAATAGAAAATAGAAAACAAACTCTTGCATTATTGCTAGGAAACATTCTACAAAAAAAGGGTGGAAAACCTAACTAGACAAAGAATATGCCCTATGAGATGAAGACGACACCACCCAGCACTCTCCAAGCAGCAGCAGCAGCCAACATTTACTGAGCTTGCTATCTGTCAGGTATCACTTTACATCTTTCACAGACAGCAATTCATCTCATCTCCAACATGTTAATTTGTACTCTACCATTTGCTTTAACATGTAATATTTTATTAACTAATTTGACTATTTTCATTATACATGAGGAAACTTACATTTAGAAAACCAAAAAGACTGGCTCCCAAGAAACCTTATAACCAGAAGGTGGAAAAGCCTGAAATGTTACTTGAGTCCAGATCCAAGTCTTTAATAATTATTTTATTCCAGAATTCATTATGATATAATGCTAGTAAAGTCATTAGGTTTTGTTGTTGGTAGTGCTTTTTGTTTTGTTTCGTTTTGGGACAGGGTCTCCCTGTAGCCCCAGCTGGCCTGGAACTCAATATGTAGATCAGGCTGCCCTTGATCTCACAGAGATCAGCCTGCCTCTACCTCCTCAGTGCTGGGATTAAAGGTGTGCACCAACACACCTGGAAAATAGTTTTCTAAGTTTGTTATTTTATGTACATGAATGTATTGCCTGCATGTGTGTAAGTGCATCCATGTCCCGCAATGCCAACAGATGTCAGAAGAGAGCAATGGATTCCCCTGGAACTGGAGTTACGGATGGTTGTTAACCATCATGTGGGTACTGGGAATGGAACCCGGGTCCACTGCAAAAGCAACCAGTACACTTTTTTAAATATTTTAACTTTTAAAAACGTTTTATTACTTTTATGTGTATGTATGTAGGTAAGTGCATCTGTGTCGTGCGAGGACAGAAAAGGCTGTCGGATCCCCTGGACCGAGTTACGGACAGTTGTTAGCTGCCATGTGGGTGCTGGGATTTGAACCCGGGTCTTCTGCAAGAACAAGTGTTTTTAACCACTGAGCCATCTCTCCAGTCCCCATCACACAAATTCATTAGTTTTTATTGCTCTAATTTCTCTAATTAATCAAGACAACAAAGTAAAAAATAAAAAAATGGGAAAAAAATCCACGTCTATAAGGAATCAAGAGTTAACACAGGGGGCTGGATGGGGGATCCAACCCCCTCTTCTGACCTCTGTGGGCACTGCATGACACACAGGTGTACTTACATACATGCAGGCAATACACTCATACACATAAAGCATAAAATAAAAATAATATACTTTTTTAACAAAACTTACCACAGAGGCTGGAGGCATAGCTCATAGATCTCTTGCATAGATCAGACCTCATGTCTGATTCCTAGCACTACACACACACACACACACACACACAAACACACACACACAATTAATAAAATAAGCAAAACGGAAGCCTAACCAGGTGGGATTGTATATCCTTGGACTAACACTTGGGAGGTGTAGGCAGCATGATCAGGAGCTTAAGATCTACATCCCCATCTACATACGGAGTTTGAGACCAGCCTGGTCTACAGAGTAAGGCGCTATCTCAAAAAACAGATTGGGAAAATAGGATGTGGTCAATGTACCCCAAATTCTTCTTTGCCTTTAACAGGGGAACATAACAGACACTGCCTAAAGCCCAGCTGCTGCTGCAAAATGTGGGCTGAAACACCCTACTGGGGTCACATTAACTGAATGTGGGGATAGTGAAAAATGTGGCAACAGTAAAAGGTTTCTGAACATACAATGACCAAAAATTCAAATCAGCTGATGAATCAGGTGTTTCTGGCAGTACTACCTATGTTGCACCATAGGTAATCACCACTGCCTTGGTTCTGAGCATACAACATGTGTGCACTTTGTACTATGCATGCCATCACTCATCATCCAAGGAAGGCTGCCAGAGGGACTGCGCTCAAGACTACTGTATGTTATAATGGCAGTGTTTCTACTGTACATAAACAGTTTCTGCTCTTACAGAAACACAATGGTTTCATTATAGAAAACAAAAAATGTTTTCCTACTATCATTCCTCAGCATGCATCAAAATAGCATATCTTGGGGGGCTAGAAATGGCTTAGTGGTTAAGAACACAGCTGTTCTTGCAGAGGACCCAGGTTTGATTTTCAGCACCCACAGGCAGCTAACATCTGTCTGTAACTCCAGTTTCAGAGGATCTGACAGCCTCTTCTGGCCTCCAAAGGTATTTCATGTACTGGTGCACTTGCATACATGCAGGCAAAACATATGCATAAAATAAATAAATTAGCCAGGTGTGGTGGCACACGCCTTTAATCCCAGCACTTGGGAGGCAGGAGGATCTCTGTGAGTTCAAGGCCAGCCTGGACTACATAGTGAGTTCCAGGACAGCTGGGGCTACAGGGAGACCCTGCTTCAAAAAGGCAAAAAAACTAAAACTAAAAATAATAATAATAAAAGCCGGGCATGGTGGTGCATACCTTTAATCCCAGCACTGGGAGGCAGATCTCTGTGAGTTCAAGGCCAGCCTGGGCTACAGGGAGACCCTCAGGGAGACCCTGTCTTAGTTTGTTCTTCATTGCTGTGAGAAAACACTCTGACCACTACCAACTTGGGGAGGAAAGGGTTTATTTATCTTGCATCTCCCAGGTCACACACAGTTCATCAGGGAGCCCAAGGTAGGAACTCAGGGCAGGAACCTGGAAGCAGGAGCTGGAGCACAGGAGCTGGAGCACAGGACATAGGAGTAACAGTGCTTATTGGCTTGCTCCCCTGGCCCCTGCTCAGCCTGCTTTCTTATGCAACACAGGCCCACCTGCCCAGGGGTGGCACCACCCACAGTGGGCTGGGCCTTCCCACATCACTCATCAAGAAGCTGCCCCTCAGACATGGCCACAGGCCAGTCCAATAGAGGAAATTCCCCAATTGAGGCTCCCTCAACCCAGGTGTGTCAAGTTCACACTAAAGCTATCCAGCACATAGCCCTAAATCCTAAACATACTTCTATTTTACAGATATTTTTGCAAGGGACTATTCTCAATACTGACAATTATAAAGTCAAATATTAATCAACTCTAAAAGACAAACAGTAAGATACCACAGCCACTGCAGTATTGAACATTCAACCAAGATTTACTTCTTTATGACAAAATAAGCACATTCATGTCAGTATGCAAACTTGCCTTCATCCTTAATAGTAAAATTATATGTATACCAAAGAATTTTAAAATAAATTTATCACCTATTATTAATAAATTTTTTATTTGTATACCCATTTTATACACCTATATAACCAAGACTGCATAAAAATGTCTAAAGCTGCCGGGTATGGCAGCCCACGCCTTTAGTCCCAGCACTCCAAAGGCAAAGGCAGGCGGATCTCCTTGAGTTCAAGACCAGCCTGGTCTACAAAGCGAATTCAGGCCAGCTGGGGCTATTGAGAGACGCTGTTTCAAAAAGACCAAAAAAAAGAAAGAAAACACTGACTAAAACCAACTTGGGGAAGAAGGGGTATATTTGGCTCACAGCTCAGTCCATCACCAAGGGAAGACAAGGCAGGAACGCAGCGCAGGAACCTGGAGCACAGACCACGAACGTACACCGATTGCTCTTTGCTTGCTCCTCTGGCCCGCGCTCACTCTGCTTTCTTACACAACACAAGTCCACATGCCAGGGGTGGCACCCCCAGAAGGGCTGCGGCCTCCCACAACACTCAACAGTCAAGAAAGTGCTCAGACACAGCCACAGGCCAGTCCAATGGAGTCAATACCTTCATTGAGGTTGTCTCCACCCAACTGTGTAACCTATCCAGCACACTATTTTGTTGTTGTTGTTTTGCTTAACTGTATCGTTTTAGCTTCCTGATTCAAAACGTAAAAACTATCTTCAATCCTAAAGGATTCCCTGGAATCCTCAAGGCGTTTACGCTACGGTCTCAGCTTCCCGCCTCCCGCCTCCCGCCCGCTACACGTAGAGCACCTGGCACGGTTAAGCCAAGCAAGCTGCCCGAGCTCCGTTAACGGATTCTCCACCGCAGCACCAGGGGCCGCGCCCCCGCCCGGCCAGCCCCGGCCCCTTACACTCCAAGGTGCGCCAGCGCCACGGGCTTCCCGCCGAAGGTAGCGACCCGGGCGGGATCCAAGCCCAGCGCCTGCAGGTACATCCAGAGATGCTGCCTCTCGAAAGTGGCCGGGGCCGAGTTCATCCTCACAGCAGGCTCGCGACGACGAAGGACGGAAGCGAAGGCCCAGACGGCCCTGGGAACCCTCGGGCCGCTCCTACCGGCGGCCTCCGGTCGCGCGGCCCAGGACTGACCCCCTGCTTTCTCGCCAGGAGCCACCGCCCTCAAAAGGCCGAAAGCGCTCAGGAAACCGAGCCTGTAAGGAAAGCTGGATTGCCACAGCCCAAGTGAAGCCACCACAAACGGAGATTCCCGCGCTGCAAAAGAGCGAAGTGCGCCTGCGCTACTCTACTTCTGGGGCTGGCCTTCCCTAGCGGGCTTTATCTCCCATCACGCAGTGCGCCCGTGCGTCCCGTCATGCCCTACCCCAGAAACTCCAAGACCCACAGTGCATTGCGTGTCCAACAACTTGCTCTGAGGCTGTCGCTTGGGAGTGCCTCATTCTTAGTGCTTCAGGGTCCTGTTTACATGGTACTGGATGGTTGTTAGGTCAGCATAGAAGTGGATATGAAGCCCCAACCTTAGCTGAGGAACTGTGGGAACCGATGACCACTGGAAGAGAGAGCGTTGGTTTTCTTTAAGGGAGTGACGCTAAGTAGGTTGACTAGGCTTCAATAGATGAGCTCACACTGAGGAACATTTGGGGACACAAATGTGGCTCCATAACCCTTAACATATATGACAGAATGCATGAAATCCGGTGGAGGGGACAATGGAAGAGTGCAGATAGGGGAGGGGAGTTTAAATATGATTAAGATGTTAGAAGTTCACACAAATTCAATTTAAAAACATAAAAAATAAAAACTAGTTGGAGCACTGTAGCCCACTCTGGTGGGGAAAGTGCTAGGTGTATGGCCCTGAAAAATCACCTTTAAAAAATATTTATGTTTTTAATTATGTGTATGCACAGGGTCGGGGGTGGGGGATGTGTGTATGTCAGTGCAGGTGCAACTTAACCTAAGTTACTCCATCTTGTTCAGAATAGCTATTATGGCTGCGGCATTCTGGAGAAGCTGCACGGTCCTGAGAAGCATTTGTCATTTTGAGTGGAGATCTCAGCATACGAAAGCTTCTCTCAAGCATGAACCAGGATTGGGGTTTAGTTTTGAGTTGACAGAACAGCAGAAAGAAAAATTGGTACCAGAGAGTAGGGTATTGCTGTGACAGACCAGACCTTGGTGTTTTGGGGAGGACCATGGAAGTGTTTGGAACTTTGGGCTGGAAAAGCCATTGCGTGCTCAGAGTTTGTTGTAGTGGAGCTTGGAACAATTACACTGAGTTGTAGACGATGGAGGCCTGGCTTGTGAAGCTTCAAAGGGAAGTGGAGACTATCAGGGCTGTTCGTGTGAGATTTTGGATTGGGAATCTTTGGGTTCTGGTCGGCTAGAGATGAAGAATCAGCTGTGATTAAGAAGAGATCAGAACCTGAAGCAAAACCTTTGCTTTACTGGGACAATTGATACTGGTTAGCTGGGGCTGAAAAATCAGCTGTAAATAACAAGAGACCAGTATCACTGTGGTGGAGTCTTCTGGGAGGTATCTTCTGGGGGTCAGCACACAGAGGGGACCCACACCTCTATTTCAAGCTGGAAGCTGGACTTGGTAATGTGTTAGAGTCTCTTGCATGGTTCTGGTGTTGAAGGCATGAAGGGGTCACAGAGAGCAGCTGAGGCTTGGCAGGCAGAGGCCAGGAAAGGCCATAGGTGAAAGTGCAGCTTCAGTTGCAGCAAAGACCCCAGGATTGAAGGGGTCATGGAGAGAATCTGAGGCTTTGCACCCCAAGAGGCAAGAAGACACCATTGGTGAAGGTGTAGCCTCAGTTTCATTGGCTACCCCAGCTTTTTGGAGATGCCGGGACCATGAGGAGCCGGGACCATGGCACGACCACCAAGGACAGCAGCAGGTGTGGAATGGAGCTGACCTGGGTCTGCAAACCCAGGATTGAAGGGGTCATGGAGAGAATCTGAGGCTTTGCACCCCAAGAGGCAAGAAGACACCATTGGTGAAGGTGTAGCCTCAGTTTCATTGGCTACCCCAGCTTTTTGGAGATGCCGGGACCATGAGGAGCCGGGACCATGGCACGACCACCAAGGACAGCAGCAGGTGTGGAATGGAGCTGACCTGGGTCTGCAAAACGAGCTGAGTGTGCTGTGGACAGCAGAGTCAGAGCAGTGGAGCTGCCAGTACCCTTTGGAGCCCAGAGGATCATGAGTGAATCCCAGATGTCCAGTCTCGAGCTACTTTGCTGGACTTTGGTTTTGCTTAGGTGTGCCCGATTCTTCCCTTTGATATAAGACAGTACTTGTTTTGGATTTTACAGAAGCCCACCCACAGTTGAGACTTTTAAAAGAGACTATGGACTTTTAAGTGTTGGATTTTTTTTAAAGGACTGTTGGGTTTTTAAGGTTGTACTGTCTTATGTTGTGATATTAATGTTAACATCATAGCTTGGGGACAAGAATTGGAAAGCTTATGGTTTCTACACATGTGACCTGGATAGCTTTGTGTCAACTTGACACACCTGGGTTGAGGGAGCCTCAGTAGGGGAATTGCCTCTATTGGACTGGCCTGTGGCCATGGCTGGAGGGTATCTTCTTGATGAGTGATATGGGAGGCCCCAGCCCATTGTGGGTGGTGCCCCCCCTGGGCAGGTGGGCCTGTGTTGCATAAGAAAGCAGGCTGAGCAGGGGCCAGGGGAGCAAGCCAGTAAGCAGCATTCCTCCATGTCCTGTGCTCCAGCTCCTGCTTCCAGGTTCCTGCCCTGAGTTCCTACCTTGGGCTCCCTGATGAACTGCGACCTGGGAGATGTAAGCTGAATAAACCCTTTCCTCCCCAAGTTGGTAGTGGTCAGAGTGTTTTCTCACAGCAATGAAGAACAAACTAGGACAGAAATGGAAAATACTACAGCACTCTAATCCAATATAGTGGCTGCAGTCCAAGCTAGCTTGAATAAAATCTTTTATCTCGATCTGAATTGAGTCTGGTGGTTTTTCCTCAGTAGTCCCGGAGTCCATAACATCTAGGGGCTCGACCAGGATTCTGGGGGACCCCTACACTCAGAGCTGTTGGTTTGGAACAGGCCTGACAGGGGACGATGCTCTAGTGAGTCTGGGGATCCACAGGAGCCCAAAACACACAAGGGACAAGCCCCAATTTTGGAACCTGTGGGAGCCCACGCCTGTAACTGCTAAAATTTCACCAAACTAAAAACAAAGCTGCTGTGTTGGGGAACCCTGCTGCTAGGGTTGTAGTCCTCCATGTCTGGATAGCTCTAAGGGGCTTAGTGCTATATGGAAGGACTCCCCTTCTCAGCAGGGGGTCTCCTGCTCTCTGACTTACCTGGAAAGTGCCGCCAAGCACAGATGCCTGACCTTATTTGGAACATGACCTTTGGCATAGTTACCTAGAGTAAAAACTACCCCCAGGTTTTTTCTATATGATAATTAGGCATTGCCTGATAGTCAGATGGTAGGAGCCTACTACCACATGTAAATAAAGCATACTATGAGCACCTATCAGCTGAAGCATTGGCTACTGCCTCCACACTATATTTTCCCTGACCCCCACTGAATAAACGGAGCTGTTTCACTGAGTCTGGAGCTGTTTGTATCACTGAACCTGCCTCCCCAGAAGGGCTTTCTTCTGTCAGTGCTCACTGGCTGTCCCTGACCCCATTCATCGCTTCTGCTCCCTTTGTCCTCGTGGACCAGTGGCCAACGACCCATGAGGGGAGGGAGAGACCCCGCCCTTCTGGCTATTGCACGAGTGCTAAGGACAGGATTAACTTGGCGAGTGTTCTGGAGTCCGGATGTGTGCAGAGAGTTAGGGTAGATTGGGTGCAATCTTAACCCAGTCTCCTGGGACAGCAGGAGACGTCCTCCCATCCCCTCTGGTTAGGATTTGGATGTATGAATTGTTATAGGTCGGAGTTCACAAAAAAGAAAAATCACCAGCACCACTTTAAGAAAAGTAACAAGGTAAATGTTTATTATTTTGACGGGCCAGGCTATCTCAGGAGTAGACAGCCCTGATCATTGTTGGGCCAGAGTTTTTATAGGATTACAGAAATATTATTCAAACAGGACACTTGTGAACCAATCGTGTTTGTACAACATAGTAGAACTTTGAATCTATTAATCAACATCCAATCATTACACAGACAAGTGATACAGTCATATAAGTTGGCAATCAACTTTGTAATTTTAAAATTAGCCAACTTCCTAGCCATAACAAGTATAGTAAGAAAGCTAAAATCAGCAGTTACTGGGTGGTCATACAATAACAGGGTGGTCTTATATTTTGTGTCAAGGTGACCTAAAATAGTGAGTTACAGAAGCGAAAACAAGCAGTTAGCCAGATGTAGAATGTCTGAGATTAGCACATTCCACTGGTTTGTGATTGACCTATTTCTTAGAACTCAAGGCTGTTGTCTCTTTTGAAATATTTCCCATAAGTGAAAAGAGGTTACTGTTAAAATAGCAATTCTAGAGCCGGGTGTGGTGGTGCATGCCTTTAATCCCCGGACTTGGGAGGCAGAGGCAGAGTCAGGTGGATCTTTGTAAGTTTGAGGCCAGGTCTACATAGTGAGTTCCAGGACAGCTGGGGCTACAGGGAGACTCTGTCTCAAAAAGACAAAAAAAAAAAAAAAAAAAAAAAAAAAAAAAAAAAAAAAAAGATAGCTATTCTGAGCAAGACAGAGTAGGTTAAGTTGCTAATATAGTTCATGAATGAAGGTGGCCACCACATGTCTGTAATTGTCTGGTTTTCTCTGTCTGTTTGGGTGTTTTGCCTCTTTGTGCTTCTTATCTTTGCCTGGTGGATTTGTGCTTTCTGGTGTGCTTGTGAATTTTGTTGCAGACATGGGAGCCAGATGAAGCATGGCTAAGACTCCTTGTATCACTTCCAGGAGTTCCACGAAGCGAACTAAAACACAAGCCCTTATTAGCCTCCTGGAGACTGTTTTCTTCACCCACCGAGATCTAGGAGGGCCTTGTGGGCCCGATGGTTTCAGTGAACTCCCAGTGAGGGCCCCTGCTCTTCAGTCCCTGCTTTTCAGTCCTGGTTGATGTGATTTGTCTGTGCTTGTCTTGTTCTATATTTTGGATTGGTGTCTGGTTTTGTCATGGGTCAGAGTGTGTCTTAAGAGTGCTACCCCGTTACAGTGTATGTTGAACAACTTAATCTGATTTCAGGTCATGTTTTGGGTACACCTAGTTTTAATGTAATTATGTCATGTTATGTTTCCTGTGCTGAGATCTCAAGTAATTCTGTCATGTATGTCTATGATTATTAATATGTTTCCATCAAAAACCCTAAACATCTTTAAATTTATTAACTAAACTGGTTGTTTAAGGGCCTTAGTTGTTACATACCTTTTGGTTTGGGTTTGCTTTCATAGTGTTTGTTTTAAAATATCTCTTTGGTTTGCTCGCTTAAGAAGTATTTGGGTTTTGACATTCTTGGTCTGGTTTATATTGCTTTCAGACCTCTAAAGGCTTAAAAATGGTTTGAGAAAAATTAAACTCCTGTTGGCCATAGGTTTGATCTAATATATTAACGCACCTTCATTGCTGGAAATAAATTCTGGGACTGGTCTTCCTATCTCATCCTTTTGGCCTTGTCCTTTTCCCTCT